TGGTGTCACGTTGGACAAGAGGTTAACCTGAGGGCCTCACATAGCTTCTAAATTACAACAAGCATACCAGCGCCTCTCAATGCTATTTCCTATCCTAAACAAAAAATCAGTTATACAAAAAAAATGCTCAATATTAATTTACAAGCAATTATTACGCTCACTAATTACCTATGCTTGTCCTATCTGGGGAAACTGCTCAGTGACACACTTAAGAAAAATACAAATTTTCCAAAATAAAGTATTAAGAATAATAACAAACGCACCATGGTTCATACGCAACGAAAATCTACATAAAGACCTCCGAATCAAAAAAATTCAAGATCATATAAAAGATCTAGCAGTAAATTTCCACAGTTCACTCCAAAAATCAACTGGCTCAAATGCTCAATACACTTCAACTTACACATACGTCCACCACCTCAAAGACGACTAAAACGCGGTCGCCCGCACGATCTTATTCGATAATGCTATTAAATAACTAGTCACTACTGTAATTATCGCTCTTAATTGTAATTGTAAATACTTATATCATGTTAAAATTAGTCAAAAAAATTATGTTATTTATCCATAGATGTAGATAGCCTTATAGGCTAGGAATGTCTTATTTAAAATAATAAAAAAAAAAAAAAACCTGGTATTTGGTAACATCACTAACAAATGCAAAGTAGCAATTATTTTATAATAACAAAAATAATATTATTTTAAGATATAATAATATGTTATTTGTATTGCTTACTTATTTACTGGTTCAAGTTTCGTTTGATTTTTAAATATATTACATTTTTTTGCGATTCTTAAGCGATTTGCACTAACTTGATTTTATTGGAACGTCTGTTTTTTGTTGCAACACCCATTATTTTTTTTTTTAAATACTTTATGGTCCATATTAAAAAATTGATGGATACACTCCGAAAAAGTTAAATTTTAATATACTAAACTAAATTCAACACTATAGAGCAGGGTCGGCCAAACGGCCGATCGTGGACAATTTCAAAGTCGATCATGTTAGAATTTATTTTTAGAGACATTCGTTCAAAAAATAATCGAGGTTGTAGACTTGTAGTGAACAAATTATTGATAAGTTTTATCTGTATAATTAAAAAATTGTTCCACGAAAGTCGAGCCTCAAAGGTGAAGTATATTTTTAGTAGATCGTGACCAAAAAAAGTTTGGCCACCCCTGCTATAAAGAATAGTACACTGCAGTCTGAAATCAATGATAAATAAGAGTGCCGATTGATTGCTGTTTTTTCAATTTGTATTAATTTTAGATTTTAAGAAATAAAAATATATGGGATGATGATATTAAGGGATTGCAAATGGACAGTTTTGAAGGAGTTCAAAATAAGCAATTTTCGAATTGTATGCATACTGGTCTGGTAATTAATGTGTGTGTAGTGGTTATTAGTATGTCAAAATCGATCAGACCACATTTTAAGATATTTAATTTAATTTTCGAATAATCAACATTTAAAATGTACATTTTAAATACTCAAACCAAATACATATTAGGTAGTTTAGGAAAAAATGTTTAAAATATTGCCTGATCGATCTCAAGTAGACATATTAACGAATTAAAATCAGTTTTCAGGATAGAAATATAATGTTAGCGAGGTCCATTATTCAATATTTGCCGGCTGTGGTAGCCCCAAACCAATTTAATTGTAAACGTTGATATTATGACGTGCACAATGCAATTATATTGTTGTACATGTGTTCCAAAAATGACATTACGATAGTGTTATTACTCAAAAGGCAAAACCAAACAATAATCCATAAGAACTAAATACTACTGCGACGACTTCATATAAAATACAATTTGGTATGCCCCACTGAACAAGAGTAGAACACGGCAAAAGCCACCAGGGGTGACTTGTTATAAGAATACTATAGGAGCGACTGCTCCTGCCCCGAAAATCGGGAAACAAAATGTTTAAGTTCAACAGGTTTATTTATAATTCATAACAGAAGATTGATCATTCAAGTAAAAAATAAGTGTATCTATATCACAAATTGTAAAAGTTAATGAAAAATTTAACTAAAGAAGAACCTAAAAATATTACATTGGCCCTAGTAAATGTAGTTGGTGGGTGGGTTGTTTATAAACTTGCTCCTTGAGTTATGAATCTGAAGCCGCCACTGGTAGCCACTAATGGCGGTACCTGGCTGAAACTACGATAGCGGACAGGCCACAGGCGTCTTATTGCTTCTCTCGGACTTCGGTCTACGAGAGGAAACCACTGCGGCTGTTCGACAAGTGGATACCGCGAGTATATATACCACACAAGTCAGCGGCACTTCCCGGAACACCACGACGGAAACCAAAACCGGCAAAACCTGATGACCAACACAATAATATAATTGATGAGTAGGTATTTTGACAAATTGGGCATGTCGGCTGATCACAACAATGACAAATACGATATTATCACGTATCGTGATCACACGAAGTATTGCGGAGGCACTCGGGCGGTGAACGTACGCGACGCTGCGTTGTGGTCAACCTCCAAGACGGAAAACAAAAAATCGTTAACTTGCTTATGATTCTGATGATGCCGGCTGATTGCAGCAACGACAAAAACACAAGTCTCGTGATCACACGAAATTTTCACGGCGGCACGCACAATTAAACAACCGGGCCGGCAGCAAGATCACCGGTGAACTCGATGGCTCGCTAGGAGGAATAGCGCGCCGTTCATTGAAGTTTCTGCGCCCGCAGCGCAGCTTGAAGGAGTCTTAATGACAAGTGCTGGCAGCAAAAATGCAAAAGTGTTCCGTGTTCGAACGCGTTATTGCTTTACCTGATCTTGCTCGTATGCCTGTTGCTGCATGTCATAGTTTTCGCCGTTGATCATACCATCTTGCTCCGTCGACAGCATTGCCGGCTGAAAGCAGGTCGTTGCGGCCTAACGAGAAAATGTCACCGTACGGCGTACTGGTCTGACAGTCCACCGCAAATCTTGTTGTTGTCTTTCGTGAAAACCGCTTTGCAACAAACTTGGAACATTGGTACAATTTCGATTGGGTAAAGATCAATTTCCGGAACATAATTTTTACTTGATGCAGTTTCCATTTCCCAGTCGGCAGTCGTGATAATAATATAAGATACAATTTTTACACCCCTAACATTGATTTGTTTTATTTCTTTTTTTAAGTCTAGATGTTGAGGTTGACGACTGTTACAAGTCGTTGACACTGGACGGCCGAATTAAAAATATAATACGATAAGTAAAAATAGTGATAAAACAGTCAATAATATTTTGTTGACTATAACCATTGTTTTTCCTTCTATCAGTTCTATCTACAATGACTAATGACTATAAAATACAATTTGTGGAAATTAAATCGTGTTGGGCTGCAATGTGGTGACTGGGATAACACCAATTCTACGATTATGTACTGCTACGACATTGTGTTACTCCAAAAAAAAATTTTCACTGTCCATCATAATACTGCTCCAATATCGATTACTTCGAACATAAACTTTGCCGATATTATATTAAATTACTCCGACATATTTGCATTTTTCTGATAGAGATAACTGCATCTACGCATGATAACTGATAAGTAAAAACTAAAAAACTAAATGTAGACCACGGTGCGCGATGTTGAGAAGATCTTAAAGTTCAGAACTTCAGAATTTTTGAATGAAAAACAGAAACAGAAGCATATTATACGTTGTCACGGTAGGATATTAAAATGTATAGGTATTTGATATGTTATTTACCCAACCTATAACCTTTCTTAGTATCCATCTCAATGTCATTAAGTCATTTTTTCCCTATGATTTGACAACTGACAAAGTAAAAATTATATTTGTACTGTTGTTTACAATCCTTATAGTCATTTAAAGCTCTCCTATCTTATATTACTAATATAACTCAAAATAAATAATTGCTGCTGGACCCAAAATACTTTTAATATCTAGCAAATATTTTTTTAATTCCAATCACATCTCTTAATTTGAGATTCATTGAGTTATTTGTTATAAACACAATTTGTTGTCTCCAGTTTCTATAGAGAAAATGTATCTTGTGTAACTTAAATATTCTTTTCCCATTAATCCTCACATTGATACAAGGCCATCCTTTTTATGGTTGAAGGTTTGTAAGCTATTTCAAATATATTAAACCTATTTGGATGATGGGTGTCTACAGCACATATTAATTGTGATTTGACCAAAAGCTGTCTATACATATGAATTCGCCAATTGGCATTTTATTTTTTGAAGATATTTTAGGTATTACTCAAAAGCAATAACCATGTTTTGAATTCAAGTAAAACAGTGATCGATGATAAATTACATTTCTAAGTATTAACTATTAAGAGATAGGCATTGGTTTTGAAATGATATCTAACATGTTTTTTTCTTTCAATTTTTGTATTTAAATTGCTATTTTTGTCATATTTTGGTAGATAAAGTGCTTAATTAAGTATTGCAATTTAAATAGGTTAGGTTGGTAGATCAGATATTAAGAATAAGTAGATATTATATAAGTAAGCTTGCTTACAATTTTTAACTTTTAAAGGTAGAAATTGCAAATATGATAAAATAATAACTAACACAAATCTGCCATAGTTAATTGTATAGTCGTTTGAGCCAATTTCTACGATAGATAGATTAATATTATGTGGTATTCTTATCTTTTGAAATTTGTTTTTGCTAAAAATTTGTTTTAACAATTAAAACATATTAACTGCTATTGGTAAAGTTTTTTAGAATTTCTCCTCATTAATAATTAATAAGCAAATATAAAAATAAAATATTTATTTTAGTCATTTTATATTTTACTCAATCTTAAAAAGAATTAAACAAGTCATAAAATTATAAAGGTAAATAATAATAAGAGAAAAAAATACATAAAGAAAACTTCCAATACAAATAATCATTAAAAAAATTATGAAATATATACTCAATTTAAAAATATTCTTATAGTGTCTTCAACCATACCACCACAAACCTCACATGTGGCCGGAGGTGTTGAGTTACATGTCGCACAATACCATCCATGGCCACAGTCAAACAAAATGTATTGCGCCTGGTCTGGTACATATTGCACATGGTGCATACATCCGAGGCACCGACTTCCAGTTGGATCGAGTAAGGAAGTATTTTGCATCCATTTACCTTTTAATAAAAAAATTGTACATTTTTAATATGAAAATTACAAAAAAAAAATGCTACAATCTATACACTCATAATTACCATCTCATAATTTAATGTGCATTATTTGAATGGGTTGTGTTGTAGGAAATTCAATTTTGCAGACACCACATTTATCTAAGCGAATCGCACACTCATCACAACACCATCCGTGATCGCAAGGCAACAAAATGTTGGCTGTATTTACTGGGCTCCAACTTTGAAGGCAAACATAGCCTCTATCTACATGCTCACCTCTAGAATAAAAGGTATTTAAGTGAGTTTATTTTTCAATTTTGTTCAGGAGGACGTTATGTTGATATTTTTCTTACATATGCCTAAACATATAGCAAATTTTAAGCTTAGCAGATCAGATTTAGCTTTGTTAGTTTAAAAATTAGAGTGAATTAACCTATTTTTTAAATTTAAAGCTAAGAAGGGTATCTCAGGCTTTTTATTATACTTTAATTTTAAAGCGAGTTATGAGTGTTTTAAAATTGTAAATTGTTTGAACTTCATAAATATTCATCACTCGCTTTAAATTTAAAATATAGTAAAAAGTCTATGAGATGCCTTATAAAAAATGTTCACTCTTACTAATGGAGCTAAATGTAATTTTCTGAGAGTAAAATTTGCTGTGTTTTGCACTTCTAAAACAGAAACAACAAAATTAATCTGTGTAACGTTTTCTTAACAAAAAAATATTCTAATAGTAATATAAAAAACTAGTCTTCCAACATAGGATTATCCAAATCAAATGGCTGGTGAGCTTGTGGAGTAATTTGGTCTGAAACAAAATAGACAATTATTAACATAATATTTGAGTATTATAACATTTAAAATCAACCTACCATCAACAAGAGCATCATTTATGCATAGCTCAACTATTTCATAGACCTCTTCTTCCATTGACAAATCATTGATATCTGGCTGTTCAACTCAAATAAAAATTAAATTGTGATCGAGTAAGTGAATATTTTTATTTATTCATAAATAATTTAATTTATTTTTATTTTCTTTATTATTTAGAATATTTTACAATGCAGTTACAATAAGCATATAAGCGTAAAATAATAAATTACAATACATAAATACTTGGGAGAAACCGCCCAAGGACGACACTCCTACATTTTACTTATAGAAATATTCTAAAGCATACTTTCGTTTTGTTGTAGTTCAAGTGGCTCATTTCGGTCTTCATTATTTGCTAATCATACAAACAAAAGAGTTATATTTAGTTAGACATAATATATTTTTTACCACATTCTATTTCTATATATAATAATAATAATTGTAATATCTAATAATTGTAATATCTTTTCTGTACATATATATTTAATTGTAAAGGGCTCAGCCCGTAAATTCTTAATAAATAAATAAATAAATAAATATATTTACATTGAATTTGGATAGGGGCCTCAATGTTATTTAAATTTCCTATAATATTGATATTTAGATTATAGTAACTAGAGTATACAATGTATTGTCAACTTTAATGTATAGTTGTATATTACTGAGAAGATTATGATCCTCAATGAATAAAACGTTGCCACTTTCTGGTTGTTGGCGCACATTTGGATGTTCTGGATGTCTGACCATTTAAGGAACTGCTGCTGCTGCAGCTCGTTGACGACCACGACCCCCAGGTCTTCTAGCTCCACGAATTTGGAATGGCGGCAACACAGGTGATAGAGGCTGAAGTCCAACCATTGGTATCTGTAGCTGTCCCAAATCTTCAGGAAGGATTTCTTTAACTCAATTTTATTGTCATTTAGTTTATACACTCAATTGAATTTATGTGGTACCAACCATTAGCTAAAGGGCCTATTTGCATATTTATGTATCCTTTCACTGAGTAGTAAACTCTTCTTAAATATGCCATTGTGTCATAGCGGCCATAGCGTACGCTTTGTTGAGCATCAGCCAAAATGCAGTTATTTGTGTCTCTGCTAGACACAATTGATCTTTGTACCTTTAATTAAAGTTTGATTTATTAAAAACCATATCAAAAATTTAAACTTATAAAGTTTATAGCCTTACTCGCTGGCCGTTGATTGTTTGTAAGGTTTCCCTCCGTACTCTACTTTCAATGAAACGTAATCAATCTGCAAAATATTATTAAAAATCAATCACCATTCTAGTTATTGTCAATTATATATTTTTATAAAAATTAATTACCGTAAAAGGACCAGACTGGCGGATGTAGGCCTATGGTGGATTTAGCATGCTGTGAAAACTTTCTTCATAATTATTGGAAAGGATGTTTACACTATAAACAGTAAACCCAGATGGACGTACTGTTGTTTTACAGTATTGTCGAAAATAGTCTACTAAATGAACAATTTGGTTCAGTATGCCCATACGAGTGGCCAGCATTGTGATTGCCAGACAACCCCCAAGAATGCAGAAGTCTTCGGCAAATTCTAGAATCTGGTGTGGTGGCAAGTGTGGTAAAGCCCTAATCTATATATAAAAAAAAAATGTCAATATTAATGTAAGAATTTCTCATATCACCAGATCCTTATCCGTCAGTCATAACTAAAAATCCATTTTTTAGTTACCTTTATTTTTTTTTTTTTAATTTCATTGCAAGTTTATTAGGTTATAAGGAATAGATTGGTATAATTTATGATTTGAAATATTTCTGATGGTACAAACAATTATGATGTACGCAATTAATGTTTTAATGTTTTGTTGTATTGTTTAATTATAGTGAAACTTAAAAAATATGTATATTATATACATATGGGGGCTATAATACGTTGAGAACATAAAACAAGTGAAATGTGATGTATCATAGAGTATTTGGCATTTGATTAATTTATTTGACAATATTAAAACTGAGGTAATAGAAGAAACAAATATTAATTGTTAACGTAATTGTTTTTTCAAATTACAATAATGAGAAATGTAAGTGCAAGTTTTCCATGTTATTATGTTCTATCAGTGGCGTGGCGAAGTAGATTTTTTGGGTACAACCCAGGAGTGGTTGGGTGCTTATGTTAGTGGGTGATATCTAAGGGTAAATAATATATTAATTTACCTTTATGACATTTGTCATTCAACTGCAGTATACTATTCTAGAATTCTTGTTTACTATTATTATTATTATTATTATTATTATAATTATTTAGAATTGGTTAATAATAAAAATAAAAATAATAACTTTTTTAGAGGTTTGTAATAAAATTATGGTGGGGGGGGGGATATACAAATCTGCGAGACGTGGGTGGGTACCAAAAAAATGTATTCGCCCCCACTATAAAATCTTGTCGCCACGCCACTGTGTTCTATAAATATTAACTGTTCATTCCTTTCCTAAATACTTGATACCATATTAATGAATTATCCTATAAAAACATATTTTCATACCGACTCAGAACTACTGCAGTTATACAACATTTTAGGTTATAATGTAGATACAACAAATTTCTTTTAATTAAACAAATTACTTAAAAGATGTGCATTTATTATCGTAATTTCTGATCTTATGAAAAGTGTACCAGAGTGACGCTCTTACTACTTATGTTGTCGAGTACCCCTAAACCATCACCCACCGACCTTAAGCACAAGCTACCAAGCGTAAATATTGCAGAACAAAAGAAGGTGTTGGTGCCACCAACTTGGTGGTGCGGTGGATCGAATGATTCAGTCTTAAAGTGTGTCCGAACCCCCAATGGATAGTATAGTGCTAATATAAACATTAATTTCGCCGCAATTCAAAAGTGAAAAAAATAATAAAAATTTCAAATTTTCTTTTGCATCAACGCATAGATCGTCGTTCACACAAAAAGATAAACCCAATATGAATGATCAAAATACAATGCTTCTACTTTAAATTATATTATTTTAGTATTATCGTTACAACAAACACTGCGGAATAATGTATTCTATTCTACAGTTTAAACCATAATGCTCCTATAATACATTAACATATATACATGCCCATAAAGAATATCGCAGTGGATTCACAATAATATTTCGTCCGAATTCGAGATCCGGTCACTGTCCGCCGACAACTGGATGCATCAATAGTTTTTAATGAGCTGAAATATGCAGGCCCGACAAAAATCAAGTTGGAAAGTCGTGATTTCACTGCAGGCATTGTAGTGCATACGACTTCAGCAGGGTGATACACCCGTCATCGCGGATTTGAACTAAAACGAACCCGCCGTTGCACCCGGCCAAAGTGTCATTATCAACGACATCTATATAATATTAATATATTCAATATTGACATGTCATGTCCCGTCTTTTGCCTTGACCAAGTGTGCGTCCAAGTGCTAGCCATGTCGCTATGTCGCGACAGCCTTTTTTTTAACATCACGTATTATTTTATTAATTACACTGACGGTTTATGACCGTTTTTGTTACATGTCCGCCTTAGCCGTAAGTGTCATCTTAATTTCAATGTGCATTCGTATTTTGTTGTGACACATTCCGCCTTGAGTGTTACTGTCGAATTTATACATTTTATCATCTTGTATGTGGTATGTCACGTTTGTTTGCGTTCCGTATCGCCGTGTTCTTGCACGCCGTTGTTATGCAATGACAAGTAATCCGCCCTTTTCCGTCCACGCATCCTGTATACCATGGTTTAGTGGTATATTACTGTCGTGTTGCGTTTTCGTCCTTTGTCGAGTCGGTGACGGTGTAACAGGATAGTCATGGTATCGGCCTACTGAGTTATAAATTTCTATACTCATGTTTGTACTCATTTCTCATTATCATAAAAAGAAAAAGTTACCAATTAACACCCATAGGCCATAACTGGCCCATATTTTGAGTGGCCCGCCGAGATTTCCTTGGCAGTTTGCCGATCCGACCATTGCCTGAATTGTTGAATGTCACACAATATATCTTTCTGATGTATCCCGGGCGTTTCGTTTCATTTTATTTTGTTACGGTGTTATTATATATTTATAATATTAAAATAGTGATCCGTCCAAAGTTAGGTTATAATATAATATCGCACATGCAGTAGGAAGTGCAATCGTGCATTATTTACGCTTGATCCTATTCTGTGTAGTACAACGTACAACGTGCCTTAGGTAAAAGCGGGTCCAAGTCCCTCACCGGCATAGGCGTAACTTGGACTCTATTCACGTGGGGGCAAAAATAATTTTTGAGAATCTCTACACATTTTCATAATTATATAAAAATTAAAAAGAAACTTTGTAGAAAACAACTTGTTTTAAGTTTTTATATTTTTTTTTTTGTATGTTTCTGTCATCACGGTTTCGGGCAGTAAAAGTCCTAGTTGGGTTGGTACTACACCTATAATTAGTATTTAAATAAAATGTAAAAGTGTATGTGTTTTAAATTTATAAGCACTTATTATTTGTTGTCATTGTATTGTACAATATTATTATATTAAAATATATTCCTATAAATATAATATAATATATTATATTATGTATATGTTACGGTCAGAGTGTATAATTGGGCGTTGTAGTACAATGAGGACAATTATACACTTTGCCCAGGTATTGCACAGAATGACCAGAGCACAGTGGGTGGGCAATTTCAATGGTATAAAACAATTTTTGTTATCTTAATAATTTACAATAATTTTTTTTATGAATATTTACTATGTTTTTAAATTTTATTTGTGCAACTTAAATTATCATGACATTTAGAAGTACATAGTTTACCTACAGCCTTATATTTACATTTATTTGTCTTGCATCGCTGTTTACAGTTACACAGGTCATATCCTTGACCGCCAAGATTTGAAAATTTTCTATAGGCATTTTGAACGTTTGTGTGTTAATGGTTTAAGTAAAACATATTACGTTATAATATATACATAGTGTTTATAAATTATATTAGAAATAGTGGATGGCATCGACTCCACTCGAAAAGAAGCCGGGCACCTTCATATCTGCTATATAACACGGATGGGTACTGGGCAGGTTAGCACTGTTAGCAGTATCCATCCGGTCCACATCAGCCGAGTCAGCAAAAAAAATCTTCAGTATCAATATTATACACTAGTGAATCTATACAAATAATTATATTAAATTAATATAATATATATATGAGAACATTTTTAATATATTTACCTGTATCAGTATTAGTGTTGTAAAGTATTTGAGTAAAAGTATTCAAATACTTTTATTTTTGAGTGACGTATTTGAACGGTATTTGAAATACATTTTTTTACTATTGTATATTATTTTATTGAATACTTTTTTTTTATTCCTTGTCAAATAATAATAATGTCGTTATAATAATGTACATATTTATCATTTATGAACAATTCGATATTGATTTTGGTTTTCGTCCTTTGTTTAAATAAAATAAATAAATAAAATATCTTTAGCTTAACCAAATATTTTTTACTCCGGGAAACCGTCTGTTTATCGTCGACGAAGATCGCAACGGTACGTTATCGCTACCTACCAACATGTATTATAGCGAAATATTATACGAACTTTTGCTATGTCGTACCTGTGCGGCCGTACGTGTGTACGTGTAGTGTGTACTGTACTACTGTGACACTGTGTACGCCGTGCGGAGACAACATAGTAAGCGGGTGCGACCTATTCTCAATTAAAAGCTATAAATATAATATAAAACATAAACATTGACATTGACTGATAACTGATTCTGCTATAAATAAATGAATATGGCTATAAAGTCCAAAGTAATAATCTATTCTGTGGTAATATGTGGAACATGGTATTATCTTATTTTCATAATTATATTAGAAAATAATATTTTTGTGCGTACGGACTACGAATAACCCCAATTGTAAATTGGTGATTAGCGCACAATCAGTTATAAACTATTACAATATTGCATGTATGCCCCCTACGCTGTTTTACACTATTGTAATATTCATTACTTGGGTTCGTATTATTCGTATCGTGTTCGCTGTTGTCTGCTTGACGTTCCTACAGATTGTTAATAATTGTATTGCGTCAACCGTATACTCTTGTTTTCATTGTTTAAATTGTTTTAAATTGTTTTAAATTGTAATACAATGAGTGATTGTGATTCTTCAACCGAAGTCGATCAAGTTACAGATTTAGAAGAACCAATTTTAAACTGGCCAAATTATCAAAAATATTTTAAAGTATTAAGAGTCATTGAGGATAATTTTTTTTACAAGAAGCTAAAAGTGAAGTTGTGTCGATACAAAGTGTGACAAGGTGGATCCACGTTCAAACTCTAATATAAGAAAACATTTAAGTGTAAGTACAATGTTAATTTCATACCTGCCTATGACAGGTGACCTCCATCTAATATCTTGTGTGTTAAATTAATTTTAAATACCACACAAATACCTAATATATTACAAAATACATCAAAATTAGTGGCGCACAGCTTTTTAAAAGTCAAATTTCAAGTGCTTAAGATGTATCATAGATCTCATTATTCTATATTATGTATTTTCCTAGGCCCACACACGAGTCATCTCAGAGGGACCCAGTATTCTTGTGTATATGAAATAAAATAAAATAAATAACCCCCTCCCCCCTTAATAATAAATCCCAGTTGCGTCACTGATCGAAAAATGTAAATTATTTATCAAAACTTATAATGTTAAGTAAAAGGTTATAATATTATTTCATTATATTCAGACACAACATTCAACTATATTAAAGAAAATTGATCACATTAATAATGCAGCAAACAAAAACACTTTAAAGAGACCCAATGATGGATCATTGAAGCATAATGCTGGTAGTTCTTTAAAACAATTAGATAAAAACAACCAGTTTTAGAAGATTTTTTGAACAACAATAAATTAACTATTCAAAGTAAGAATGTGTATTGTTTATTTTTATTTTTTGTTTTACCTATTAAATATTTTTTAGTTGCAGCATTAACAAGAGTAGTTGATATTTACATGACTGCATGACTATATACTGATACATTGCTATATAGTAAACGATACGGTTGTTAATGATTTAGAAGAAATCAACGCATTCAACTTGAACATTCTAAATGATGAAGACCATGATTTGCCATATGCATTACCAAAACACCATCGATGTTGTGCACACACAATAAATTTAATAACAACAATGGTAATTAAACATTTATTTAAGTAGATAACCTAATATAGTTAAATTATAAAATACAAAAAATATTTTTATCGAAAAGAATATATTTTGAGTAAGTATAGTGATCAGGACAAAACTATTAGGTAGTAGGTTTAACAATTAATAATCATAATCAAATTTGTATGAGTTGTAATGCATTTAAAAGTTAAATTTTTCTTTCAATTTTAAATGTTAAAAATTTATGAAAACAAATATTCTAAGATAAAAGTATGAATATGATTGGCATTAGCTATTTTCTATTATCTATACCCAAATTTCTATTTTAGATATCAATAAATTATGTTTGCTTAATTTGTTATTATTAATTACAAATTTGTACAAATTAAATACAAAATAAAATAATTAATTAAAAAAAATAATTTTTTCTAGGACTCTAAAAAAGCTTTGTCTAATCTTGCATACAAAAAACAGTCAAGAAGCACTTTTGCCAAGTCTACCGCTTTGTGGAATAAACAAGGACGCTCAACTAAGTCAGCTGATTTATTTAAACAAAATCTTGGTGTTTATTTAATTACACCCAACAAGTCACATTGGAATTCACTGTATGATGCAGTGGTGTTGCTTAATAAATAAATTAAAAATAATGAACTTAAGTTTAGAATAATAATGACAAATTGGCTATTGGCAGGTAAATTATAAATCTTAAAAAATTATTAATTATTTTATCTATATTTTTTATGAACAATATTTTCAGATTTAATAGAAGTGATATTTATTTCATGTGTCAACATCAAACAATTATGGGGCCAATTTCATTACGCTTGGATTTACTCCAGGGTGATACTAATATGTACTTTGGTCATCTCCTACCTACATTTGAAGAATTAATTTATAAATGTGAATTAATGATAAGTGATCAAACAGTTTCTAATTATTTGAAACCTCTGGTTACCGCCATACTTAATGGTGTGTAGTAATTAATATTTTTTAAATACATTAATCTTATTTAGCCAAGTACTTAATGTGTACACATTTAATTTCTTTTCATTATAGCTGTTTTTGGTTTACTTTATTGGTAAATACTATTTACTAAGTAGTAAATATATAGTATCTCGTAGCTCTTACAGTCTTACTGATGTATAATGTAAAATTTTAATCAGCTGATCTATTTTTTATAGTTATATTTCTGTGTAGTAAATACATTTATTTACTCATGAGCTAAAATAAACAAATTTTATTGATAATAATTTTTGTTTTTAGATATGAAAACAAGGTTTGCTGATTATTTGATAGACAAATTTTTAACAGTGTGCCATCCACTATTTAAAAAAGCATGGATTAAAAATGATGTAAAAAAATAATTGGCAACAGAATATTTAAAAAGTGCCTGTTATGACTTACATACCAATGATAATGGCAGTAATGATGTAGGAGATAACCAAATGAAAGATAATTTATTTACCTTTTTTACCTGGTCACAAAATTCCCGAGATGAAAAATCAACAGTTAGTGATGAAATAGATAGATATTTGGGCACATCTCCAACAAAGACTTTAAAATGTTTGCATAATTTACCCAATATCAAAAAAGTAAGATTAGTTGAAAACTTCTTATACTATTAGTAGTAATATTACATAAACATTTGTGCTTATTTTTCAGGTATTTTTGAAGTACAACACTCCACTACCTAGCTGTGCATCAGTAAAGAGAGTGTTTAGTGTTGGTGATGCCACAATACATAAAAAAGAACAAATATGACGGATCAATATTTTGAACAAATAATGTTCTTAAAATGCAACACTCAAATGTTTGATTAATATAATATATTATGAATGATTCAGAATTAAATTGATTTTTTTGTTTTGTATTTGAAAATTATTTAAAATACTTTACTATAGATAGTATTTCTGTGGTATTTTAAATACTTTATTTTACAAGTATTTGAGTAATTACTCAAATACTTTTTATAAGTATTTTTTACAACACTGAAATAAAGCAATGAGTTTAGGAATACTGATATTATAGCAGTCTATTCAGTTAACATAAATCTAATCTTGTCCCCATATAGGGTCTCTGCGTCACATTATAGTAATAGTCATACATTTTTGTCTTGGAAACATCGAGCAAACAAAATCCTAAACAAAATTTAGAAAATGTGTTAGTAAATGTTGAACATAAAAATGTTAAGTATATTTACCAATATAGATAGGTTTATCGAATGTAATAATCATGTTCTCTTGATTGACTGCTTTAGGTTATCAGTTATCACTGTAATTGGTACAGCGTTTAAAAGTGGACTTATAAATTAAATTCTTGTATAGCCCTTAGTATAGCCCATTGTAGGTAAACAAGGGAGAAAATAATAATAAAAAATATCACAATATACTATGTAATATTATGTAGGTTTTTTTATTTGTTAAAAATCCATGAATTTCTTTTTGAAGTCTTTAAAATTAATATAGTATTTTGTGGTTTTCAGTTCAAATGGGTCTTCTGTTGTTCATTTTTATACCAATTTTTTAGAGCCATGCCAGCACATAAACAATATTATTGTGGATTTAGTTTTAGGAGTCAAAATCCGGGTAACATATATGATAAAAGTACGAATATTTGTACGAAGAAAAGTGTCAAGCTGAAGACTGCTTAAATATCTTTAAAATATAATGTAGGTATCTGCTGTATAAAAATTAATACTGTTTTGTAATGGTGTTAAGTTAATGTATTAAATGGTGCTGATCCAATACAGCTAAATAAAAAAATCCAAGCACTGCAAGTACTTTTAAATTTACCAATAGCTAAAATGTAGAAATATTTTATTTATTGTTTATTTACATGTTTAGCTAAATAAAGGTGAAAAAACAGATCAAACGGTATGAGACAGGTATTAAACTTCTCATAAAAATAAAAAAAAATAAAAAAACATTGATAATTTCCACTTATTATCATACATTTGAGTCAATTACTGTTGTTGATAAAATATACCAACAAATTTTTGGTTTTATTTTCTATAAGCCAAGTATTCAAACGTCATTTGTTTTTTTTTTTTGGAAATATTTGTCTTCATGTTACATAAAGGTATTCATCTCGTTAATAACAATTAACTTCAGCTACTTTTGACAGTTGATGTATAAAAACTTACTATTTTATAAAACTAAATTATACAATAATCCCACAAATAAATAAATAAATATTACAAATAACACATTATAGTTTAAACGTTAAGACTAAAAACAATATTGCTAGATGCCGGACGTAAGAATTGACTCGCGACAGTAGTAAACTCTAAATGGCCTATACTCAGAGTGCCATGTTCTGCATTGTATAGATTTAAACACTCCCAATAATATTCTGTTTCGGAATTTGAAATAAAAAATGTATCGTGTAATCCAAAGAAGTCAAAAACTCGAAAACTGAAGACAACATATAATATTATAATACCTATAATCTATGGCAAAAGCCGATCGTCGTCACTCACCGGAGACGATTCGCAATTCTAATAATTTCATTGAACAAAAGGGAAATGTGTATGGCAACTATAAACATTTACTCACTTATTTCATTCTACTCAAGTAATTTTTATAAAAAATCTCGATTTTTTTTCAATTTGGATTTAGATGAAGGAAGAAGTTCCTCGATATGGCGTCTGCACTCAAGATATGGCGCCTTGCAGCTATATATTAGGTACCCGGACAGTCGATGTATACGTAAGTTTGATTATTTATTCTTTTGGGGCTTAAATATTTTACTTTTTAGTTTCAAAATTAAAATTTGATTTGCTACCTGTGTGAAGTAGGGGCATATTTTTTGTTCCCGAGCGCGCAACACAAAAAAATACGGTATCACAAACGACGACGGCATATCCATATCCAGGTCGCAGAATAATAACATATTTATAAAATTAAATAGATATAAATAGTGTTGTACATACTAGTCATATTACAGTAGTACACGGGAGTTTTTATGTCCTGCAAAATTCAACAACTTTTATTTTTAGTTTATATAAATGTTAAGTAATATATGAATATTACTATGCCGTCTGCTTGTGGTCGAACCGCGAATTAAAGTGAAGCCGTCGTACATCAAACATCAAATTATGTTATAAAGCTGGGAAAGTCGCTCTGCCGATTATTGAATATCCGTCGGAAATTAAATAAGGAAATTTTAAAATTTAAATATTCTCGAATAGCTTAAAGTTTACCTAACCAATGCACTCAAAATGAATACATAAAATATTAATTATTAATTTCGTGCTCGACAGTAGGTATTCAGAGAAAAGATTTAGGAACTTGAAATTTTACAAATTATGGTTGGTTAGTCGGTATACCGTAAATGTGATGTATTAGGCACTGAATACCTTTATGTTAAATCTAAAAAGTAGTAATCACATTTATTTACAATACAATTTTTATTTAATAACTCATGGAAAAATATGCTTGTGCTTCGAATATTTAAACACGACCTTTATCAATTATTAAATTAAAAATTAAAATAATAGGTACTTTATATATTTTTGTAATTTAAATTTTAAAATTATAAACTATTTTGGTTAGTGTTATACCTACTCATTTCATTATCTTAATGATCTAATCTCAAACACAGACCTCTTTGATATAAAAATTTGTTATATACTTTATATCTATGGTTTTATCATATTGACGTAGTATAAATTATAATGCGATCCGTGGCGATTTTCTAAGTAGTTGCAAAGACGCAATCGATCTAAAATTTCAGTTGGCAAAGCAAAACTTAAGTTCAGTCATAGGTATCTGATTTATTACGCAGTGCACACACAATAATCAAGGATTCCGCCGAAGCCCGAAAGCGTCTATATTTAAAGTAATTAATTTTGGTTTCATATTTTTTTAGTGGTCAAATTTACTTTTTATACTTCAAATAAAAATTTAATTTCATGAAATATGCTACCCCTATGTAGACACATATTTTATTTCTGAGAGTAAATGCATTCAATACGAGAGATCGAGTAATATACAAACGCCGCTCGTCGTCGTCTTTTTTCTGTTCCCTGATCGTAAGGTAATTTAAAGTTATTTCAATGTTAACCCTTAAACTTCTTTAAGATTTCGAGCGGAGCGATGAGTGTATTGATTTTACAATTTATTTTTAAAATTTTTTTTGTTCCTGTCTTTAAGTTATTTTGGGAGAGTAAAAGTGCTTCGACTTTCTTCAACAGCATCTTTTCTGTTAGAAATGTAAATAGTATTGGTAGTTCGAGGGGTCTAAATAAAAAAATTCTCTATATAGTTTTCAAAAGCGGCAGGAAAAACAAACAAAAAATTAAGGAAAAAAGTGAATTTTTACAGAAACCCGGTTTCGACCAAATCGATTTTGGTTTTATTGATGTAACTCTAAAAAAAAAAAAATACCGTGGATATACATGAAATTTTTACTGAATATTTACTACGGCGTTTTCTATAAACCATACAATTTTGACAACACATTTTTATAAGCGTTTGAATTTTGACAAAATTAGTATAAGTCACGAAAATGTGCAAAATATTTTGAGTTCGAAATTCATAAATATTTTTCGATTTATATCTAAGTTTTTAATACAAGATTCCTTATAAGTGAAAGTCAAATTAAATTTTTATGACCATTTGAAGTTGACATTTTGACAACATTGAATATTCACTCCATTTCTCATATAGTGATTTTCACTTATTTTTTTGTAACTGGAAATCCAATAATTGCAGATATTTGAAATTCACACCATTTGTTTATATTTTCAATTCATATACTTTTGATGTACTCATTTTGAGCTGTTTACAAACAATTTGAATTTTGAATTTTTTTAGTTTATTTAGTTTTTTTTTTATAAATTGTTAATAAAATTGTATTTGTTGGGCAAAAAAGCTTGAAAATTCAATAAAATGCTCTTGATAGATATTTACAATATTAGTTGAAAAATATTTAAATTTCATAGGCACGATTTTTTTAATGAGCATTCAAAGTTTAAATTTTAACAAAATCATTTGAAATGTACAAATAATTTTATAATTTAAAATTTTTGAAATATTCAACATTTATAGATTAGGGTTTGTTACGCAGTGTGAAATCAAGTGCTTTGAATCCCAAAACGATTTTATACGTTAGAACTTTAAATTTATTTTATAACAATATTATGCACATTTAGAAAAGACGGCCGAATACGCTCGTTACGCCGGTTACGTATACGCTGAAAATATTTGAACCCATGCGATATGATCGCCGAATAGAGTCTCTATCATATCTTTTACTATCCATACAATGATTATGTACGTACCGAACATTGTTGAAAATTCAAAACAAAGTTCCAAGCAAATAGGTTATTATGTTATTAAAAAATCAAAAAAATAATATCACAGATTTGTTATGTTCAAATGAGAACTAAATTAAAGATTAAATTACCAAGAATAATGATTGATGTTATTTTGTTGTAAATTAAAAATATTATTCGTGGGTACTTGAAACTTTTAAAGTATATTATTATATTTTATACCCTCAATGACTTTTCAAATGTACTTTTTTTTAAATGAATTTAATCTACTGCATAGTACTAATACTTAATAGTAAAATAAATTACTTTAATCGCAATAATATCATTGAATATACTAAATAATTAAGTAATATTAAAGACTGACAGACCGTCTTCTTTCAGAATCGTTTTTCGTATACAATGATTTTTCATTGTTGAATTCAAACTTAACATCATCCATTACAGTGACCAACTAGTAACCTAATGTACAGCAGAGCGACCTGCACATACCAGATTTTTTAAATTTAATTTTAAATATCTTAACATTTTTAATTTAACTGATTTTTATTGCTAAGCAT